CCCGCGTGTGTGTGTGTGTGTGTGTGTGTGTGTGTGTGTGTGTGTGTGTGTGTGTGTGTGTGGTATGTGGTATGGTGTGCATATATATGAAGGCCTAAGATCAACATCTTCAACTGTTCTTCATTTATTCTATGAGACAGGGTCTCTCACTGAATCTAGTGCTTGCAGATTGGGTAGAGTGGTTAGCTGGTGAGCTCATGAATCTGCCTATCTTTGCCTCCTCAGCACTGGTGCATCTGTATATACATACATATACTACATATACAGACAGTACATATATACACAGTTTCTGGAGTATCAACTACAGGTCTCCATGCTTGCACAGCAAGCACTTTACCCATAGAGCTGTGTCCATAGCCTCTTGGTGCTATTTTTCTATGAGTTTCACAAGAAAGTTAGCAAAACACTGTTTTGAACTCATCCCATGCCATGAATGGAGTTATTTGTATTGAACACCCAATCCAAGGATCACTGTGAATAATCCCAGTCATTAGTTCAAAGAGAATCTGCATAAAATCTGTAAGGTACAAGGTCCATATTCCAATATGGAGACCATCATTACAGGGTGAGCTGCACTACTGTTAGGGTGCACACACACAGTAGGTATCTAGTAAATGGCTGATGAGAAGAGGTTGAGTGGATGCCCATGCCCACAGAATCTGGACATGTAGGTGGGATACTTGTGGAGGGAGAAGGCATGCAATGCAGGGGTATGGCCCACAGAACCAGCCCAGCACTCTGTTTCTTAAGGACAAGAGTATAGGACCTTATCCTTCAGTGTCATGTCTCACTGGGGAACTGGCCCTGAGGCTTGAATCCCCTTTTACCCTCAGAGTCTCTGTCATGAAATCAAAATCAACATTTAATTAAACCTGGCACCTCTGTGGAGGCCTGGCTCATCCCTTCTTTACTGCACCTCTGCAGCCACAGAGTGATGTTTAGATGTGATGAGCACTAGGCTGGACAGAAATAAAACACAGTGGCAGTGTTCTCTGGTCTCTTACCCTGGGCTGCTTTCATCCCTTGACCTGTACTGCCCTGGGCTCTCCCTTTCTTTGGAAGATTTAGCTTGTGGGATTTTATCTGTGAGTGCTCAGGGCTTTCTCTCAACCCAATGCTTGCCGCTCAATTACAAATCTCTCCCATGAGCCTTTTCCAATTGGGTGTGGATGAGAATATGCAATATCCCGGCATTTTCCTCTAATAAGCTGGGCTTTCGGTGCCAAGAGACAGTTTATCCAACACTGCAGAAAACCTCTCACTGACTCTGCAGGTCCTCTGGGGGATGGCTCAGTTGTCACATAAGCATGAGGGCCTGAGTTTGATCCCCCCCAGAACCCACGTAAAATTCTGGGTATAGTGGTACATACTTAAAATCCTAATGGTGGAGATGTGGTAATAGGAGGATTTCTTGGAGCTCACTGGTCAAACAGGTGAGCTAAACTGGCAAGCTCTGGGTTTTATGAGAGATCTTGTCTCAAGAAAATAAGGTAGAGATGACTTAGGAAGAGATTCCAAGTTGACCTCAGGACTCCACCTGCATGTAGGCACACAAAATAACTAACATAAGGACAGGACATGAACAACATAGGGACTTACCACAGCACTGCAGGATGCCATCTCCTTCACCCGCAGCATGACTTCCTGGCTGAATGTCGTGGGCCAGAAGACCTGAGACACAAGGCCGCGGCTGCATGCCTCCTGGGCAGTGAGTTTCCGCCCACAGAACAGCATTTCATTGGCCTGAAAGAACAAAGGCGGGGAAAGCTGAGGGCACAGAGCTCTGCCCTTGTCCCTTAGGGAGACCTGGAACAGCTGTGCATGAGTGTCTCTGCTCTCTGAGGCAGCATTCATAACCTAGGGTCAGATGCACTGTATGAAATGCATACACCCATCTGTCACAGCTTTCATTAAATTGTCAAAAGAAGCCAATGGGTTTTCTGAAGCTCTGTGAAACTGACAGTAGCCGATCCTTGGGTGGGTATGCACACCTTTGAGGCTCACTTCGGTGCTGATAGCCTGGCCCTGCAATGGTCTAAGAAGGAGGGGGTGATCTACCTACATGTTAGCACTTTCCAACAAAGATAGTGAGACAAGTTCCTCCTCTCAGAAGAGAAATTAGAAAAACTGGATGGAGACAGGGATGGGAAAGAGATGGAATGAGGGAGAGTAAAACTCTTACAAGATCCATTAAGCTTTTAAAAAATAAGTCAATTAAACATACCTACAGCATTAGGGACCCAAAGGTAGAGAAACATCATCTGGTGGCTTGGGGCTCAAGTACTATGCAGTTAAGAGGAATGGAACACACCCTCCTTGGCTGGGCTGCCTCTGCACCCCACTCCTCAAAGAATTTCCCTCTGCTTTGAAATTGGTGGCTGTCATACACAGTGCTTCAGGGGTTTAAATGTTCCCCAAAGCTCTGGATGTTCAAGGATTTGCCCTTGGCTTGACTCTTTGAGGGAAGTGGTGAACCATTAAGAAGTGGGGTGCTTGGCAGATGGCTTAGGTCACTGGAGACAAAGTGTGTACTTGAAGGGGACTACAGGACCCTGGTGTGTCTCTCTCACTCTCCTTCACAAGGCCAGGAACCACATAGAGCTCAGCTGAGGACACATGGCCTTCAGCCTATTCTAAGAGTCATATAAAAGACTGAGGGTGGGAAGGCAGAGACAAGGCCAGACAGTTTAAATGTGGCCACACATTTAAAGTTTATGGCCACAAAAATGAGCAGGAACTGTCTGGAGAGAAACTGACATGAGTGGGAACATGTGACTGATGTCAATTGGACAGTGTTCACCTCCCAGCTTTGTGCCACAACCCGTAAGGCTGAGAGCCACCTGAGACATCCTACAGTGCTTGAGTCCAGATGGCTTCTAGATCCCACCTGTTAGCCTACAAGAAGTGATACCTAAACCAGGACAGGCTTAGAAATAGGAACTCACCTGGAACAGGACTGCCATCTTCCATGTCCTCAAAGGAAGCTGAGGAAAGTGTGTCTGGCTGAGAACATAGAAATGCACTTGCCTGAACCTACACCATGGGAGATGTGCGGCATGTAGGCCTCAGAATACATGGGGGTCTCCCAGTCACCTCCAACAGTTTTCTTTCAGTGCTCACTTTGAAAAGAAATGTGAGTGTTATCTAGAAGCCCAAGGCAGCTGGCAAAGCTGGGGAACCACTAATAAAGACCAAAAAGAACAAATGACACGCGCTAGAGCTATGAAAATATCAACATGTTTGGTCCCTATTCAGACTCTGGACAAGTCACTTAACCTCACAGGCTGTCCTCCATCCCAGAGGCATTCAATAGCCTATGACTCTGGGCTCCCAGCTGTGGCTGGACTAATGGAGATGGGGCTGGAACAGCACCTGGAATGTAGTTCTGCTTTATGACATGCTGGGCTGAAAGCACAAACTTTGCAGTGAATCATGAGGATCCAAACTCTAGGACCACCATTGTACCATGTGGCTTTATTTGTGTGTGTGTGTGTGTGTGTGTGTGTGTGTGTGTGTGTGTGTGTGTGTGTGTTGTGTGTGTGTGTGTGTACATATAAGTGTATAAGTCTGGAGGTCAGAGGATAACCTCAGCTGTCATTCCTCAAGTCCATTTACCTTGTTTTTGAGATGGGTGTCTCACCCTCAGCTGTCATTCCTCAAGTGCCATTTACCTTGTTTTTGAGATGGGTGTCTCACATTGGCTTAGAACTCACTAGGTAGTCTAGGCTAGCTTGACCAGCAAACCACAGGGCTCCACTTATGTCCCTCTTCCCTGTGCTGAGATGACAAGCACCTGCCACTATGCCTAGACTTTTTTATGTGAGTTCTGGGAGTTGAACTCTGGTCCTTATGTTTGTGTGGCAAGCCCTTGACCAACAGAGCAAACCCCATAGCCCACTGCACTACTTTAGACAGCTCCCTTACTCATCAGAGCCTTGGTCTGACATATGTGTTCATTGGTAATAACAACTGTTCACCTCATGGGGCTGTGTATGGCTTTAACAGTGAATGCTTTCTATGTCTCCTTGACACTACTGTGTGTCCTGCCTGAACTTGTCCTGCTACCACCTATGGTGGACTCAATGGCTTCCCTGGACCAGCACTGCCAGCTGCCCAACCTGGTCATGTGACAATCCCTTTGCTTCTCACTGTTCTACATACATTATGGAAATATCTACATTTTCACAGGGGTGGAGACAGCTTTGTCATCATTCAAAGTCTTTCACTCTTCTTGCATGGATGCATGGCTAAACTGTACTTCCTGTCTCTCTTACAAGGAGGTGTGGCTACATGATGGTGTCCTGGCCGGTGATGTGTGAATGAACAGAGGGTAAGCTCAGTGAGCCTTGGCTAGAAGACTCTCTGGGGTGATTCCCCCTGCATCACTGGAAAGCATGTAGATCTGATGGACAGAGGCTCTCTAGTCAGTGTTGACAGCTCTTGCACATTTGCTGGACTGTTCTAGAGGGAGAGGGAAGCTGTTGCACAGACTCTGAGAATTGTGGCTGTTGGTTACAGCACTCAGATCTCCCAAAGACATAGCTTTACCAGAGTGGAGTGAGGCAGAGAGGGGGCACTGTGCGCATGGTCCCTGGCACACAGTAGGTAAATAATAAGTAGGCATTATCATTGTCAGCTCAGCTCAACTACTCCATCAGATATCAATACCATGAAGACCTATTGGTCTGGCTTGAGATCAGCCTGGCTTCAGTCACAGCAATTTGGAGACAGCAGAGGATACCAGAGCAGATTCCTCAGGCCTAATGGATTCCTGGGTTTCACCCATAGTCCACTGCCATTTTCTAACCCCCAGGAGAAGGGTCCTGCCAAGACCCAGGCACATGCATCTCAGATTGAGGATTTATGTAGGAAACAGAAGGCTTACCAGCGCCACACCCAGGATCTGGGGGAAGGTGTAGGAGGAACAGCCAGCAGGTGTGAGGCGAATAGTAGCATATGGTGTCTGAAACCAGGCTTTCTCACTGGCCCATACGATGTCACAGAGGGGTAGAATGGATGCTCCCAGGCCCAGTGCTGGTCCATTGATGGCTACCACGATAGGCTTCTTAAACTGGATAAAGGCCTTCACGAAGTCTCTGGAAAAAGAGAAGAGCCTCTTTTAACTCATGGCTTGCATTTGCTGGACTCTGGATACCCCTGACTCTCCCGGGTGCTGCAGCACAAGTCCCGGACATCAGAGGCAAGTGGAGGCCAGCCAAGAGGCTCACAGCCTACTGCAGAACCATGAGGCTGTCAGATTCTCAGCAGAGATGGATGATGGCTAAGCACCCTGGTGTCCTAGTCTGTGCCTGATACGCTCAGTTCCCTATACCGCCCCTCTACTCTCAAAAACCATGGCCTGGGCAGTAAATTCTATGGACACCCTAGATACTGACAAGGTTGTATACTTAAAGGGAGATAAGCAGAATGTCACAGTTCTAAACAAGAGCCAAAAGGGAGGTGTCCTTCAGAAGTATCCCTCAAGGACAATTACATCTCAAAGGGAGAGCAAGTGTTCTAACATCACTGACCAAGATGTGATGGATTATGGGGAATAACTTCACTAGAGGAATTCTGTTTTTAGCTTGACGATCACTTTGAGTAATGCTGAAGATGGAATCCAAGCTTAAGATGGTAGACACCTAAGATTTCTTTAGATTCTGGGATGGTCTGGTTCTGAATTACCTGCAGGTATGCCACAGTTATCAAGGTTGGTTCTACAATGCTTATGAAAGTCTAGTGTTAGGATGGGGTAGGATCTGGGCTCCCATCAGGAAGCCTCTAGACTCAAAGCTAAAGAACAGGGTAAAGTTTACACTGCCTGACATACTGCATCCATCAAGGTTATAGTACGTGTCTTAACTTATCAAACAGGGCCACCAGAAAAAAATGACTTCTTGTGTGTGTGTGTGTGTGTGTGTGTGTGTGTGTGTGTGTGTGTGTACATGCATGTGCACATGTGCACGGATGTCTCGTCTGTGCATGTGCAGGGGGTGGGGGTGCATGTGCCAGCAAAGACCAGATGCAGGTGTCAGACCCCATGGAGCTATAGTTAAATGATCATGAGCTGCCTCACATGGGGGTTGGGAACTGGACTCAAATCTGGGGGAGCTGAAAGCACTCCTTGCTGAACCATCTCTCAGGGCCCTAGAAATGACTTATTTTGCCTTTGAATACTCTTCACCTTTCCTCTAGCTGTTGTCAAACATCTATAAAATGTTAAAATTCATGTGGGTATGGAGAGAAGTTACTAGATGTACAGTTAAGCTAGCATTCATCATTCTTAGATGGAAAACTGGGGACTACCAAAATATTACAAGACCTTGGTCTGCCCTAGCTTGCCTCTCTGGGCTTCTCTCTTACCATTCCTGACCCTGCCTACTATGCATGTCCATAGGCCACCACAGTAATTTGCAATTACCCTATTGATAGTTTACTTGATTTTTTGAATCTTTCTACCCCTTTAGCCCACAAGGACACTCACAGACCTGAATGAGATACTTCTATCAATGTTGAGATTAGAACCCATGAACAGACATTGAAGAAATACACTGTCTCCCAGAAGGGGTACAAAGACTGCCTCTGTCCCCATTTCTTCCTGATCTCATAATAGATGACATTTCTCAGTCATCTTTGTAGCTGGCTGTGGCCACGTCACCAAGGACTGGCCATGAGGGTAGACCACATATACCGCTTCCAAGTGAACACAGTTCCCACCATGAAAATCTCCATGCCTGGCTATCTAGGAGAACATGACAGGCAGGGACACCAGTGGAGCCACAGAATGGAAGGGTCTGGATTCTTGAGGCACTATTTGGAGAACAGTCATAGAATGGATAGCAATGTTGTTTACTTTTCTATGTACAAGAAGTAAATTTATGCCCTGCTGAGCCATTATATAATGAGAGATTATTTGTTATATCAGCTAATGGTCAACTAACACATCCATGGAGCTGAGTCAATATCTTCTGTTGACAATAATTCCCTTCCTAACACTTATCAAAAGATGTGAGTGCAACAGCGATAAGTTGGAACCCAATTCTATTGTAAGAAGCATTGTTTTATATTCTGCTAAGGTGGGGACACCTTAGTATCTGTGTAAGTCATTAGGGAGCTCTCAGCTTTGACCTAAGATTGTATATAACACTTTCTGACACGAGAGACTTACTGTGTTCACTTTTAGCCCTGCTTAAGAGAGAAAAGCCCCAGTTCTACCACCTTCTGATGACTGGGTTTGCAGTGGTCATCCTCCTGGATTACCTTCCTACACTCACAGTTGGGTTTTAGATTAGATCACTGGCTTATTTCTTCTGCACATGCAACCTGAGTCTATTAGGGATATGGGACTTTCATGGACAGTCTAGGGAAGCTAAGGGCTGGGTAATTTTTATTAGACCTCCAATTTCTAAGAACTTTTGTACAATTCCAAAATCTAGGATCTGAGACATGGGAAGACTTCAGACTCCTCATGCTACATCTTCCTCTGGGTACAGACTCCCTCTGAGGATATTGAGGACATCAGCACAGCCCTTCTGATATACTGCCACATATCTGTTAGATGCTCTCAGCTACATAAAGCCCATGCCTATTAAATTAGCCTTCATACTCCATACTACTCCTTGGTAGGCATTGCCGATGCTCTCATACCTTACATGATGACAGTTCAGGAACCTACTGAAGCCCTCACCCCTTCCAGAGGTTTCCATTTGAGGACCCAGAGACTTTTGCTCTGTGCAAGGCTAGTAGGGACCCCGGAGAAAGTAATGGGTTTGAATCACACACAGCCCTGTCCTTCCACCACCAGCTGCTTCCATTTCATTTCACTGCTGTAAATGTGCCGTATGGGATCCTCCCATCCTTTTTCTCTCACCTCAGGCATAAGATCTCTATTGCAGGGCCCCAAGGATGCAGAAGCCAAACAGCAAACAGGATATTGCATTACAGACACAATGCTCAGATATCTGATCCCACTTCAGTGGCAGGGCTGGGCTTAAAGGACTGCTTTCTATTTTCTTCAGCGTCCAAGACCCCAGACTGACTCTGGCCCTTTGCAGATCCCTGTGCTCAGCCCAAGCCCTGTGTCTGCAGCCTGATATGGGATGCCTGATGTGCATGGAACACCAAAGGAGACAGTCTTGAGGTCAAATCTCAACTCTGCCCCTCACTAATGGTCAGAATTTCCCCTCTATAAAGTGGGAAGACCAACGCCAGGCACCCATAGAGCTAAATGAGAATTATACATGATTAGCACATGCCCAGCACATGAGAAATAGTGGATCAGACTGCTGTGATCAGGCCTATGTTTCCACATGTAGCTCTCATCTGATTCATGGTGGTCTGGGGTCCATTCTCCTAGTCTAGAGAAGACTCAAGCAAAATGCTGCCACTGGGGACACCTTGAGACCCAGGTGCCCATTCCCTTTAACGAGAGTCAGGACAGCCAGAGCCCCGTCAAGCATTCCATGAACACCAGACATACATGGCAACTGTCATTTAAGGCCCACAGGGATCTTCAGAAGTCTACTCTACAGACACACTGGCCTGGAATTCACCAAGTAAGCTAAGCTAACTAACTAGCAAGCTCTAGGGATCGATCATTCTCTGCCCTGCTCTCACCCCAAGTATACAAACATCATCACACCTTGTTTTTTAATGATATATTTATTTGTATTTTATGTGCATTGGTATTTTGCTTGATGTATGCCTGTGTGATGGTGTTGGATTCCCTGGAGGTAGTTATAGGCATTTTTAAGCTGCCATGTGAGTGCTAGGAATTGAACTCAGGACCTTTGGAAGAGTGGTCAGTGCTCTTAACCTCTGAGCCATCTCTCCAGGCCTCACACCCTGTTTTATTTTTTTTTTTAAATATAAATTCTGAGTGCACGGCAAGCACTTTACCAATGGAGCTATCTCTCTAGCCCACAAAGGTAGCATTTTTTACATGTATTCTAAGTACTTAATGTGTCCCATGAGTAGCCTGCATGGGGTTATATATGGGCACCTTCCATCCTAGCAACCCACCAGAGAGCCTAGAACTGAATGTAGACGACGACTCCCATCTTCAAGATGAATCTACCACTAGCCAATGCAGAGGTAGGTGTTACTCTTCTTGGATACCATGCTGCACATGCCATCGTGTCACCTATACAGCACAGGTGAGGCTGCCTGTCCCTCAGGGTGGTCCTGATAGAGGCTGATGAGCACCCTGAGCCCTCCCCACATCTGCTATCCTCTCATCTGACATCTGCATGAAGGAAATGGAGCACCGTTCCTATGTGTGCCCAAGAGATAGCCTACCAGGGCTTGGCTGCACCCTGGAAATGGGAGTGACATTAACACCTCAATTCCTTTTCAGGAGCTGGGTCTAGGCTTCATAATCCCTTCCTGGGGAGCATTCTGCACGGGGAAGCACACAGGCATTCCTGAGCAACACTTCACTCAAAGTTGGACCTGGAATTCACACAAGGCAATATCTTCATGTTACCCCTTGCATCCTCCCAAGTGCCTGGTGACGACATGGGAATCCTCCTCTGCTGTGAGTCAACCATGGGACAGTGAGACTGGAGGCCCTGAAGCATCCCCAGTGTGCAGCCTGAGGTCCAAGACCCTACATGGAGTAAATGTTCCTGGTCTTGGGACCAAGGACCGTATCTCAGCTGTGGATTCTCTGTTTCCTTGAGCAAGGCACAACAGCAAGTAACTCTTTCCTGGAGTGGATCACTGAGTGACCACTGCTCTCAAGCAGCTGAGTGACCTGGCTGAAGAGTTTGTTCATTTGCTTTTGTTATAAATAATTGGGAGGATCTAAGCATACAGCTCAGTAGGTAAAGTGCTAGCTTTGCAAGCATGCCCAAGGACCTGAGCTTGATCCTCAGAACCCTTGTGGCAAAGTAGAGCTTGATGGCAAGCACTTGTAATCCAAGAGCTGGGGAGGTGGTGACTAGTACCCCGGGGCTCACTGGCCAGCCAGCTTAGCCTGCGTGGCAAGCACCCCAGGCTAGTGAGAGACCCTGTCTTAAACAACAAGGTTGACATCACGTGGCGTATAACATCTGAGCTTGATCTCTGGCCTCCACATGTAGGCACATGTATCCACATATATACACATGCAGCTACACACACATTCACATGTACACACACATAAAATAAACAACATACACATAAATGGGGAGATAATCATCCTGTGTCCTGAAAGGGCTACTAATGGTTGTCGCTGTGTGTCACCATCAAGACCCCCACAGACTTAGAGAGGTGGCAATATTTCCAATCATAATGTCTACCAATGCATAACAGCCCCAAGTTCTCCCCTGTCTTCCTATACTTGAGTGACATCAAGTACAGAACACAGGAATATGTACACAACCAAAGACCCTGCCACTAGACGGAAGGCAGGAGCAAAAAGCACCACAGGCACTGCCAATGCAGGCCTTAATGTGAAAACAAACAAACAAACAAACAAAAAAGTGGGTGGGAGTGGGGAGTGGAATGCAGCCCAGAGAACAAAGCATGCCTGCCACTGGGGCAATAGACAAAATGCAGGCTGCCCAGCTTAGGTCCACAGTTCAAAAACGTAAATGGAGCTGAGTGACAGAGCATTTGCCTAGCTTGTGCATGGCCCTGGGTCTGATCCATGGCATTGAAAAAGAATCAAATTTCAGATAAATCAAAAATAATTTTAAGATGTAGGTATGTCCTGCTGTCCTAAATGTTGCCAGGGATATACTTACACTAAAAATAAAATCCCACATTGTTTGAAATTTAAGTTTAACTGAGCAGCCTGTACTTTCATTTGCTAAATTTGGTCATCGTTGGCAGGCTCCCAAAGCATTGATTCAAAGAGAAGCTGGACTCACCTGATGGCTTCTGCGATACGAGTGCTTTCCTTTCTCCGGTCATTGGACAGCCGGCCGATCAGGTAGGAATAGTCCAGGCCACTGCAGAACACACTGCCCACTGCACTGAGCAGCAGCAGCTTGCTGTCATCCGTGGCCGCATTGCACAGTGCTCGACGCACTTCCTTCATGATCTGCAGGCAGAGGTGAGTGTGCAGAGCTCTGAATGTCTGAGAGCACAAGCCAGACCCAGGAGAAAAATCTTGACAGAACAAAAGCCTTGCAACACCACCCACAATGCTAGCACAAGGATCAACTTGGAGGTCCTGAGGTCACTGGTCCAGACCTGGGAGCCTGGCGTGGACTTGGTCAGTCTTTATGAACCTCTTCAGACCCACTTCTGGTATTTGCGGCTGAAGCCCTTACAAAGTGTGGGGAAATTGTCCTGTGTACAGCGTTGGTGAGCTACATAAGCCTCTAGATAGTTCAGTTAATTTTTTTTCTTTTTTTATCTCCCTAGATCCTTGAAGGGGTTATAGGTGGCCAATGGTTAGCAAGTTTTAGTATTGCAATATGGCCAAGCTCATGGTCTGCCATGTATTGTCCACAAGATTGGGGATTTGCTGGTCTTAACATCTAGAATTCTTTCCAGGCCACACATCCAGGGAGGGACAGTAAGTTCTGGATTAAGAACATCTTGTTCTCCTCTTCATGCAACCACAGGGGAAATTTCACTTGTTTGCCCCAGCTAGACTATGATTTGAACAATGATCAGAATGTTGTCTTTCTTAGCCCCTGCTGTATTCTTGAGACTACCACATTGCCTGGAACAGACATTCAAAAGTGACCTGCTGCAAGTTGGTAACTCTCACAGCTTTTGCCTCCAACCTTAAAGGAATCCTCTGTTTCCATGCTTAGAAGCCTCACTGAAGGCAAGACTGTCTTGAAGCACTTTGGCTCTGACATCTAAAACCTCTGGTGAAACAGTCATTTGGCTGAGGGGCAGCTGGGAAGCTTTTCAGTGTGCAGTAGAAAGCAGACCCCCCCCCCCCATTTCCCAGGCTACTGAGGTCGTCACAGAACTAGGGGCTGCAGTCGATGTCCTGTCACACACATGCCACAAACACTGGACACAGAAACAGAAGCAGCCTACAGGACCTCAAAGATAGGCACTAGATGAGACCACACCTGTGGCCTCCACACTCTGACTTGTTCCAGTCACATCCCTGTCGTGAGTACGGCCCATGCTGCCTACACAATTTTTCCTGGGAGCATGGGCATTCAGGATGACCCCACAGCAGTGTGGCCAGGATGTAAAATGCAGGCTGCCCGGTCAGGAAACTTACATTGTAATCTAATGCTAACTAGTCTAGCCCTTCTTCAGCCTTCCCACATCATCGTCAGAACAAGCTGCTTGAACTTCTTCTTTAGGTAAAATCTCCCATGAGAACTTAAAACCCCAACAGGAAGTTCTGAGGTGTAATACCACATGAAAGAGAAATCTTCAAATTAAAAAAAGGAGGTGGTGCTGTAGAGATGGCTCAGTAGTTAAACTGGCACACTGTTCCTGCAAAGCACCCAAGTGGTGTTCCTGGGCTGTGTCAAGAGGCTCACAACTGCTTAAAACCCAGCTCCAGGAGTATGGCTTCTGAGGATACTGCACTCATGTGCACAAAACCACACCTAGATATGTGTGTGTGTGTGTGTGTGTGTGTGTGTGTGTGTGTGTGTGTGTGTGTAAATAAAAAGCAGTATCTTTTAAAAATTAATGCATTGGTTGATATGGAAATTGGATACAAGCTAGTGATATCCCTGGAGCATTTCATAAAAATGAGCACAGAAGTGCTTTTGAGAGAGATTGAAACCTCAGCCACATGAGGACTGCACAGGAAAATAATCCCCTCTGCAGATGAGTTCACAACAAAATGACAAGGCATTTGAGAAATATGAACTGACATACACATGGGAGGGACACAACTTCAAGTAACATTGACCTAAGAGATTATAACAGTTTAAAATATGTTTAAAATAGTCAAACAAGGGCAAAGGGGGCAGGTAAAAAATGACAACTAACAGAGAATGAAATGAAAGGGTGTAAGGGAAGAAAACATCACACGGACAACAAAATCGTGAGTTGCTGCCTAGGTTAACATTGGACTGAACAGCTAGAGGGAGAATGAGCAAACTGGAAGATCTGAAGAAGTCTCCCTGACCCCAGATCAGAGGAACAGAAAAAACAAGTAAGTAAGAGGGTAACAGCAAGTGTAAGCCACGAAGGTTAAAACAGGTGCTGAAGGAGCCACCTTCAAACGTCACAGAGAACAGGCAGAGCCACGTCTAACACAGAGGCTGAGTATGTATGTAGGTGGACTGTACTCTGACCCATTTCCTGCATGTTCCCTAGCTCCTGGCCCTACTCTCCACCTTCCAAGCTAGCAATGGCCAGCGGAATCTACTCACTGCTCTCCCTGCCTCTCTCTGACACTCATTCTTCTGTCTTCCTCTTCTGCACTAAGGATCCTGTGATGACACTGAGACCATGGAGAACCTTCCCTCCAAAATAATCTCTTCATCTCAAAGTCAGTTAAGGAGCAACTTTCTTTCCTCTGCAAACTTCAATGCCCAGGCATGTAACCTATCATCATCTTAGGCTCTGGATTAGGACAGCAGCATCTTGGGGGAAATGGTTTAAGTCTGCTAATACACACCTGAATTCTTGACACCATAAAAAGCCAAGATAAAGCAAAGATAAACCTTTAAGTATCCAGGGGCAAAAGAAAGCTTACCTCAAAGGTGAACCTTTGACCAGAGGGCAGTTCTAAAGGACACTAACAAACACTAGAGGAAGGTAATAGAATATAGTATTCAATGTGCTGAGAGAAACATCTATAGGACCAATTGTCCACCAATCTAACTGGTCATTCAAAGGGGTAAAACCTGAGTACTTTAGCACTTGAGAGTTTATAACTCTAAGACTCTCAAAGAATATAACTACAAAGGCATGGACTTCAACCAGAGGAAAAGTGTATTCAGAAAGAAAAACTTAGAGATAAACTAGAAGAAAGTCAATGTGAGACAGACAGATGCACAGAAGGCAGAATGAAGGATGGGCTTTGAAGGAAGTCTGAATGGCCAGATATGGCAAACAGGGCAGGGTAGACATATTTGCATGGCTGGCCTGTTCCCATGTGTCCCTGTTAGCTTCAGTTGTCAACTTGGCCCAGCATAGAGTCATCTGAGAGGAGATGCTCAATTGATGAATTGTCTACATCAGCTGTGGCTGTGTCTTGTGGGAACTGTTATGGTATAGGAGGGCACAGCCCACTATGGACGGCACCATTCCTAAGGTAAGTGGTTCTGGTTGTATAAAAAAGAGAGCCAAACACGAGCCAGAGAGCAAGGTAGAAAGCAGCTTTCACCCATGGTTTCTGCTTTCTGGATCCTGCCTTGAGTTCCAGCCCTGATTTCTCTCAGTGATGGACATGGAAGTGTAAGATGAAACAAACCTTTTTCTCCTACTAAATTGTTTTTGGTTTAAGTGTTTTGTCGGGACCACAGAAAGGGAGCCTCAAACACTGTGGGTGAGAGTTGTGGTACTGTCTGAGGCCATGAGCATTGGAAGAATCAGAGGCTGGAATCAGGTACTGGGCCCCTCTCTGAGCAGGAAAGTGGACAAGCTTTGAATTGTGAAGCCTTGCTTGCCGGCTCATTCCAGAGGGCCTTGTTCCTACTTCTGTGCTGACAAGAATATCACCACACACCTTCTGATCTCAGAGCTGAATCAATGCCTCTAGTCACGAATGGAATTTTCACTTGTCAACCCACCCAATGACACTTGTACAGCCAGGAGAAGAAATTCAATTGTCGCCATGAAAGGGTCCCTTCCAGTCTGTTCACTAACAAGCAAGGTGGGCTTGCTGGTGACACTAAGAAGCCTTGGTTTTACCTTAGCAACAGCAAGAGCCTACATAGCCAGCCCTGGGTACCAGCTGCTCCTGAGCACCACTATGTGCTGTCTCTAATCGCATAAGGAAGACACAGTGCCTTTTCTGTAAACAGGTGGGGCACAGGCAGAGTAATTTCCCCTGATGACAGATATGGCAACAGAAGTGGGAGTGGGATTGGAACCCAGGTTGCTAGATTCCCAAATCTACGTTCCTCTTCCAACCCCACCTCTTGGGTTTAGTGGGATCTTTCTTTAGGGACTACCATATCCCGGGTGCCAGATCACCAGACTTGTGAGGCCACTGAAATCAGTGGATCCATAACTCATTCTTGTAACTGACTGTTGTGGATCAGGGATGCAGGCCATCATAAGCCAAGCCCATGGCTAGGTAGGTAGGGCCCCCAGGCACCTCAGATCAGTGGAGAACTGTGTGGCATTTGGGATGTGTGGGCATCCATTACCACACAAAGCTGTTCCACAGAGGCAGAATGAACTGAGAGGTGTCACCTTGATTCAGTTTATGGAAGGAAAATAATGTGCCTTTTGAAAAGCCTTTAAAAGGCAGTGAAATAGAAAAAAATGCAGGAAGAATCAGCCTCATGTGGATGTGTCATAACGAGCTTAAAGTCACATGGGTTCCAGGTGTATGTGCCTGTGAGGAGTTGCCCAAACTCCATGCTTAGAGGAGGGGCAACAGCAATCAACTGCTTCATAAACCCTAAAGGCACCTGTCAGCTCTACTCGCACAATCTGTCAATCATTCTGGGCTGTCACACCCATAACCCCATAAAAGAGCCACTGGCTATGTAAATCATAGAAGACAAGCAGTCACAAGTTCAAGGACATGGCACACCACCACCACCACCACCACCACCACTTCATGGGCATTCCAGAGGGTGCCAGATGCACCAGGGGATGCCAGGCCATCCTATCAATGGCAGCCTGGAAGAGTGGTTGCTCTAGAGCAATGGTTCTCAACCTATGGGTTGAGATCCCTATGAGGGATGAATGACCCTTTCACAGGAGTTGCCTAAGACCATTGGAAAACTCAGAGATTTACATTATGATTCATTACAGTAGCAAAATTATGAAGTATCAGTGAAAATAATCTATGGTTGAGGATCACCACAGCATGAGGAACTGTATTAAAGGCTCACAGCACAGGGGATGAAAACCACTGCTCTAGAGAGCACCCACACCCAGATGTGAGCTAACTCTCCAAGCTTCTGTAGATATTATGGACAAGAGAGTACAGGGCGATACAAGGCCAGGGGAAGGGGGTCTGAAATCACCTGTCTCCCCCAAAGCTCTTTACCTCAGGTGTCAATGCATTGTTATCTGAAGTCTGGCTGGACAGAAGAATGTGCGTGAAGCCCTCTTCCTTCCGCACGACGATGTCACGGAACCTACAGTTGCTTTCATTCTGGCGGACGCTGTACCTGAGCCTCTTGTCAAAGACATAGTCCTTCTCTGTCTCCAGCTTCCTCTTCACGGGGCTGTGCAGGTTCAGGCCTCCATTGGTCAGAGCAGGACCTTCCAAAATCAGAAAAGCTACATGAGAAACTGGTCTGCATTATACCACCACACAAATCAACTAGAGAAAGCCCAGATTTCCAGTGGAAAAGGCCAGGGTGCCCAGGGGATTAAAGAGTTCAGGACATACATGACACATCTGGCAGGGTTGTTCACACAGAAAGCTCCAAAGAACTGAAGGCCAAAGAAATCAACCATTCCTGGAATTAATCAGCAAATTCAGCAAGGTTGCAAGATACAAGATTAGTACACCTGTTAGTCACTGTCCAAGCTACCAATAATGAACAAATGAAATTGGACATAAAAAAAAACAGTACCCAAAATATCAACTACATTCAACTCTAATAAAATATGTATGGGATCTGTATATAGAAAATGACAAAACTCTGATGGAAGACATTGAAGCATTTCTAACTAAAATAGAGTATTGTAGCTTCAATGTTAAACATCCTCTACAGCTCATGTGTTTGAACACTTGGTCCCAAGTTGGTGGCACTGTTTGGATAGGTGGAACTATTAGGAGATGGGGCTTTGCTGGAGGATGTGCACCACTAAGGGTGGGCTTGGAGGGTTTATAACTTCACACCACTTTGAGTTTGCTATCTCAGCCTCTTATAATGATGACATGTGATCAAGCAGCTGCCTGCTCCAGTGCCTGTTGCCTTGCCTTCTTTACCAACTCCTCCCTCTGGAACTTTAAGCCAAAATAAACCCTTCCTTCTGTAAACCAGCTTTGGTCATGGAATTTCATCTGAGGGACAAAAAGTAACTAATAAAAATATGCCTTGTTCAAGAATCAGACCACTTAACATATGTAAGATGTCAATTCTTCCCAATCAATCTATCAGTTCAATGTAAACCCAGGCAAAATCCCAGCAAGCTATTTTGTACCCAGTGTCAAACTAATTCTGAACGTGCGTTCAGGAAGGCAAAAGTTATAGAACAGCCAAAAACAATGCTTCAAGATAGGAAGAGTTGGTTCTCTCCCAAACTCAAACCTTAATAAAAAGCCATGGTGATCCAGTGTACAGACATAGGCTACTAGGTCACAACAGAGAACACATAAACCGATGTGAACCGATGAACTGTCTCAGGACAGTTCAGTGGGGGAAAGGACATCCTTTTCCAACAAGTGCTACTGAAACAAACAGGAGTCATTTGGCAGCAGAAAAAAAAAGTGAGCCTGGACACATCACATTTGTCAACTTGATAACAGCTATAGTTAGCTGGGAAGAGGGAATCTCAACTGAAGAATTGCCCAGAACAGATTGGCTTGTGGACAAAACTAAAAGACATTTTCTTGGTTGATAATTGATGTAGGAGTCCCAGTCCACTGTGGGTGGTTCTATCCGTAGGCAGTTGAAACTTGCCTGTATAAGAAAGCTGGCTTGGATGAGCCAGTAAGTGGTTGCTCTCCAGAGTTTCTGCTTCACTTTTCTGCCCTGATATTCCTCAACAACAGGCTGTAACCAGTGAGATGAAACATAAATCTTCCTTTCTCAAAGTTCCTCGAAGTCATGGTGTTTATCACAGCAAGAGAAACCAAAGTAGGACATCTTACACACATACACATACATACACACACACACACACACACACACGCACGCACGCACGCACGCACGCACGCACGCACGCACGCACACACGCACGCATAGACACATGCAATTTCTCTTATAATGGATCACAGACCTAAATACAAAATGACAATATATCTAAAAGGCAATCAGATAAAGCTCTAGGGACCTTGGGCTTGACAATAAATTTCTATATTCAGCATCAAAAAATCAAGTACCATGATATAAAAAAATGGGCAAGCTGAACATTATAAAAATTAGAAACTTCTGTTCCCTGGAGGGCATCCTTGAGAGAATTGAGAGACAAGCTACACTCTGCCTGAAAACAGTTTGCCAAATATATATATCTGAGAGATTTTGTATTCAAAATACACAGAGCTGCAGTAAGAAAACAAACAACCCAACTTAAAAGTGGGCAGGATATCTAAAGAACCAAAGCATGCCTTTTCATGGAGGAGGGAAAATCCAGGAGACACCAGGGCACACAGGGTGGATCCATTAACATACAATGCAGTAATGAGACCGAGGGATCACTGGTAAAGACTGAGTATGCATGGCCGAGCTCCCTGTTGACAGCCACACATAGCAGCACAGCACTATGGTAGGAGACTTGGACTTGTCTTTTCTTTCTCCTCTAAACAAATCTCTTTATTTTTCTTAAACATCTTTGTTCTTGAGAATGCCATACATAGATGTAATGAAATATGGTCTTATTTATCACCTTTTCCACCCCTCCATCTCCTCCCAAGCCCCTACAACATTCTCCCTCCCAACTTGTCTCCCTTTTAAAGCTGTTTTTGCTTTTTTGTTGTTTGAATCTTTCATACATGCATATAATGTGCTCTGATAGGCCTCACCCCACCCTCCCCTCTAATTGCTTACCTATAATCCCTATATTCACTTTTTTCTTCTGTGTGGTTTTCAAATGCCCACTGAGTCCACTCAGTATTGCCAGATGTACAGCAACCCACTAGAGCATGGGGAAGCTACCAATAGCTGCACCCTCAAAAATGGGTTCCATGGTGACCTGAAAACATCTCTACTGTCTGTGTTCTCACAGGTTATCCTAAAAAAATGGCAGGCTACACTCACTACACTAATTCTCTTAATAGGGAATATGATGAGGTAAATGTGATTTTAACACTGGTCCCAAATATGGAGGAGCCTGTCAGAGGACATCTAATGGATTCAAACATTTCTTCAATGGGATACAATAACTATCCAGTCTACTTCCTGCCAACTGCAAGCTAATCAAACCTTTTCAAAAACCCAGTCATAAGGGAACAACCCTTCCCCTGCTGGCCTGGGACACTCAGTGAGGCTGATGCCAACAATTTAACTTGAGTGCAACTGACAAGAAAATAGAGACCCAGTAGACATGCATACACTTGACAAATATATGCTATTCATAAGATATAACATGAGGTCAGACTGAAGCTGGGTTCCAGGCAATGCAAGGGAGTGAGCAAGGGGACCAAGGCCTCAAGAAAGCAGCAACAGGTATATGAGAAAGGAAACCAATATTGAAGTTGTAACTTCAGCTCAGGCATTTGTGATTGCCACTTGGGGAAGAATTACTTCCAGAGCCTTTCAGCCTGGGGCTGTGAGTTGCTGTCCTCTTCCTATTTCTGGGGAGCACCTTTTGTTACATCCCTCTGGTGTCAGATGGTGGCAATCTGACCTCTGCAAACATGGCAGGCTTGGTTTGCTTGAAGTTACATGGGGGTCAGATCTGGATCCTAGACTTTCCCTAGAGGATGACTTCACTCTGTCTGTTACCACCCTGCATTTTCCCAGCATGCCCAGGAATAGAAGATAATATGCTATGTCCTGAATGTGTTCAAAGGAGTCATAAGATGATGAAAGAATTAACTGTCACAGGAGAAACACTACAGAAGACCACAATGTGTTACCCACCATATGCCACCTGAGACAATGTCATGGGTTTATCCTATCTGAAGGCAATTGAGAAGAAGCAAAGAACAACTTTCTGCATTTTCTATAATGACTTAAAAAAGAAAAACCAAGACACATCAATCTCCAGAAGTCCTTCTTCTTGCCTCTACTGGGACAAACATTGGAACCTCTACAGACATCTGCTAAGTGTTTCCTGATGCCTCGAGTTGAACCTGTTAAATACTTAGCTATCTAGGGAATGGTTTGGCTGTAATAGGATTGTTTTGTTACTATTTGTTTTCATAGGTTTGATGAGCAGCTTTAGTGTGGTAAAGCAGAAAGAGCTCCCATATATGTCTTCTTCCTCAAGTTTCTTCTATGAAATCCCACTGTGATACAAAAGAGAGTGATGAGAGTAGGAGGAAGAGAAGAAAAAAGGAGAAGAGGGGAGGGGAAGAGAGGAGAAGACAGGGAAGGACAGGACAGGAGAGGATGGGAGGGAAGAAGAGGGTAGGGGAAGAGAGGAGAGAAGAGAACCAGGATACTCCCTCTCCTGGCAGCTAGCACCTGCCAATAGCTCCTTAACACCCAACAACAGCTCCTCAATGAGAAGAGGATCCTGGAGAGCACCTCCCTCATCTATCATCTTTCCTTAAAAAGCTAAACAAGTAGCACACAAGGAATCACCATCTCTAGTTATTTATAAGCCAAGTCTATCTGGAAGTTTTACAGCTGCAAATAATATGAAAAGAACAAAACACTGTGGCTTTTTCCCCAAACACATGCAAAAACAACCACTATGTCCTTTCATGGGCAAATGGATAAACAAAATGACACATCCACATAATGGAATATTATTTGGTGATTAAGATATTAGCTGGCGTTCTCATTTCACTTCTGTTGCTGTGACAAATAACCCTAACCAAAAGCAACTTAGAGAAGAAAGGTCTAATTTGGCTTACAATTCCAGGCTATAGTCCATTATTATGGAGAAGTCAAGGCAGGAACTTAAAGTATCATGTCCACGGTCAAGAGCAGCAAGAGAATAAACGCAAGGAACCTTAGTTGCTTGTCTTTCTACTCTTACACTGTTCAGGGTCCAAAACCAGGGAATGGTGCTGCCCACAGTGGGCGAGGTCATCCTCCATCAATTAACAATCAAGACAATCCCCAACAGACGTGGGTCAACCAGAGCTAGACAATACCCTAAGTGAAGATTTCTTCATGGGTAAATTCTAGGTTGAGTCAAGTTTACAAGGGAAACTAACTGGCGACTGAGCCACATGAGTGGATTTCAAGCTCATGACACTTAGTGAAAGAAGCTACTGTGAGCAACCAGTGTGTCATATGATTCCAATTAAATAGAGGAGAGGAAGTGATAACAGCAGTAAAAAGACCAGTGGTTGTCAGGGAATCCGAATAGGAGGAAGATGGCAAAGGTGAAGCAGAGACAGGCTTTCAACTGACTTCGTATGGGACTACAATGGAGGAGGAAGACATTATGCCCTTGTGTAAAGCAAAAGAACTTCA